CCAACGTTTGCTTCCTTAAAGGAGGATCTGAATTTCACAGCAGTTCTGCAGTCTTTTCTTTCTTTCTAAAATTGTAATTAATACGAGGTTGATTCAAAAATTATCTGCACGTTCGCCATATAATATCTTTGTCTCTTCTTCTCATGAATGTTTACAGTTGATGCTACTGTGGTCACGTGACCAAAGTTTGAGCTTCACTGCACCAGTTTTCTTGCAGCTATTACAGTGTAAACATGGCCGCTACTCTAGCAGTGCTCGCCAAGAACAAAGAGCACTGATCCGTATCCGCAGACAACATGTTAGCACATCGATAATAAATTGATGTTTTGATATTACCATCTCTTGTATCTATCTGTATTTCTGAGTATTATGCACACTATTTACAACATTGGGACTATTGGGACTCATCTTTGTTGCCATATTCATCACAACGTTTCGGCCGTTGTACGCTCGGGCCTCCTTCAGGTGATTGGAATGTTGAACTGAACCCTTCATTTCGCTCGTGGTGGTAGTCTGTTCTAGTTCTACGTGGCATGTCTAATGGATGTCAGTTATCAGTTATCTCCTGTTAATTCACCTCCCCAAGTTCTCTACTGCCATAACCAGGGATTGAACTCACAACTCTTTGGGTCCAGTGTACAGGACCCAAAGAGTGTGAGTTCAATACATGGTTAAGGCAGAGGAGAACTTGGAGAGGTGAATTAACACGAGATAACCGATAACTGACATGGCACGAGGAACTAGAACAGTCTACCGCATCGAGCAAAATAAAGGGATCAGTTCGATATTCCAACCACCTGAAGAAGGCCGGAGCGTAAACCGGCCGAAACTTTGTGATAATTATGGCTACAAAGATGAGGTCAATAGCCCGAATAATGTAAATAGTGTACCATCTTTTGCTTAGTCCTCTCGCCAGTGGTGGAGGTTGATAGGTGTCCTGCATCTTCTTTGTGCGTCACGCTTGTTCGAGCATGTTGTTAACTTCTAGATCCAGTCATACACACTTCTACGCGGTAAGCGCACTGTCACCATATTGTGTTAAAAGCCTCCGATGAATTTCAGATTCTGGCACAACTTCCAACCGGAGAAATCCGATCACAGCTTTTAGTTTTTCATTGCTGCACACTGCAAGCGGATAATTTGAGATTAACCCTTGATTATTTCCTGTAAGCCATGTTTCTTTATAACAATGTGCACTTGAATTTTATTTTGTAAATACGAAAACATCAAAATTAGACAGGTGTTCATCAAAGATGTAAGTTGGTTTAATTTAGTTGGCTCTCGCGGTAAGCAGTGTATCACACGGTGTAAAGGTGAGTAATTGTTTCTCAAATATACGAAATAAAAAATGATTCCGTAGCCTATTGGTGCTGGGGTGGATATTACACAGAACAGGTGTTGGCTCTCTCATTCGCAGCTTACGAAAATAATTCCTGCAAGAACATTATTAAACGGAATAGTGTGCTTTCTATGAGATTACCTCATGTATTTGGGGACATCTATATGTAAGATAATATCATATGGCATATTATAGAAAGAGTAAAACAACTATTTAAAACTGAGGGCTCGTCTGATCCTCGACCAAGGGATTAAAAATAAAATGTGCACTCGGACTAAAAGGTGAGAAATATTCTAAACGTGGATAACTTTTATATATATATATATATATATATATATATATATATATATATATATATCTCTCTCTCTCTCTCTCTCTCTATCTATATATATATATATATATATATATATATATATATATATATATATAATTTAAAGAAAAACAGACTACTTTAAGGCTCCACTGTAATAATTTATTTCACCAGAGAATTTTATCCTTATCTGGATCCTCAGACCTCACTTTCAAAAGGTGAAACGAAAAATGAAATTAAAATTTACACTTTTGGCGGGCAGTATTAAGCTTATATAAGTTGACATAGAGAGTGGTGAGGGATGGTATGAGAGACATGGTCGAGTTTAGAGAGGGAAGGGAGTGTTTTAAAAATTATTTTTATATTTCTTTTTATAATACTTAATATTGAGGAAGGAGGAGGTAAGGATCAGACATTGACCTAATTAATTGGTTGACTCAACGGAAATGATATGGGAAAAGGAAAAGGAAAAGCAGAAAAAATGGGAAAAAGTAAAAAGAGGAAAGTAAAGAGATAAGAGATGTACGTAGGGTTCATTGGAGTAAGAGGAGGGGTGGTATAGTTTTAGCAATTTAGATAAAAACAGATTTTAACGTTTGATAGTAAATTAAATGTTTAAAAACTCGACAAAGAATGTAAATTTGATGCTTGTTAGCAATTTAAATATTCAATTTATGTGTTTATAAGAAGCTTAATAAGATTTGTTTTCGAGATAATCAGACTTTTACGTTTTTTCGTTTCTTCTTTTAGGTTTGAGTTTATTTTAAGTACTAATAAGAATATTGCATTTCAGAAATCCAGTCCAAAGCAGGGAAATTATGTAGCCAAAATAGTGTGCCAAAACAAAATAAAAGAAAAACAAATGTCACGGAATAATTCGTAGAATTATAACAACGTTTTCTCTCGTTGAAGGCCAAAGAGCGCATCAAACGATATATAGTTGCCAACGTAAGTGAAAAATGGAAACTCAACTGGATTATTCTTCAAAGAAATTTAGACAAATTTACAGAGCTTTCTGAAGTCGAAGAAAAAAAAATTAGCCTAAATTAGGTAAACGAAACAGAAACTGACTACTTTAAGACTCCATTGTCTGAATAACAAATAATTGTTACAAAAATTAGTCATTGAATTTCACACTGTTGTGTCATACCTACGATAATGGGTATGTCCCCATTCATATTACAGTAGTAAATACAGTATATTTATCCGCAGTTGAACATTTGTCACCATCTTCAAACTCTCTGTCTCCGGGCAGAAGAGATCCCCAGACGAGGCTTTGTCGAAGGGTAGAGTCTCGTCTTAGAAGACAGCTACCCGACCCCGTTTTATACGGAGTCTTCGGGGGAATTTTTGGCCGAAACGCCCAATTAATGAAGTTCACCTTGTACAGCGAAGTGTTTTATGCTAGAAAACGCGAGCCGCAAAGAGAAGATGCTTTCCTGACACGTGGGAAAACACAGCCTCTTCTACCATGAGATGCTAAGTAATTACAGATTTTGTAATATCCGCCAGCTTCGCTTTTCAGGGTTGGAGAGAAGGTATATAACACCATTTTAGAAAATAAAAAACAGATTACGTTTTTCTTATGTCTTCCTAACTATCTATATTTAAAAGATCTGTGTTAATATCTGTATTAAGAGCAGAAACCCCTGAAGCCGTCCAAATATTAACGAGCAAAACTGCCCGATAGAAAACCCCACCAAATTTTAATGAATCCAAAGCGCACATATTAGTTCAGTTACATCATAGAATAATGGCATGGTTTACAAGCTGCTTATCAAATAATGGTGAATATTTTATGAATAAGAACATTAAGGAGATTATGTTTACCGTTTGCACTTAACGTCAAAAGAAACTAATCAATTTTCTGTAACAAGTTTTCTCAGCACGAAAAGGGCTTACTTTTAGGAACATTTCTCCTGTAGATATTTTTTTCACCATAATTATTTCGCGTATAAAATGGAGTAGGCTAGCTGTTTCCCAAGACTAGAATCTGCCATTTGACAGAGCCTCTGGGGATCCTCTCTGCCCGGAAGCAGAGAGTTTGACCAGCGGAGGTGAGACGAATCTGCAACAGGAGGATATCTATCAACCGCTCCACGCTGTCAGATGCGGCACAAGGCCGAATTTAATGTGGGGTATCCGAGCCCGTAGGCTCTAGCAAAAATTCCCTGTATACAAGTATTTATCATTATTTGAAGTCTGAGAACGTTCCTCGTCAGATCGTTAATACATAGCAGAAAACGGTATAACCGAGTAGAAGGCATTGAAGACGCCTACATTGTTCTGATATCTATTAAAGAACTGGCCATTAACAACGAATACCATAGGTAGCTGGTTACTGTAGCAGCTCTCCCGATGCCACACATTGTCAAAGGCCTACGAGATATCTAAGGAAATCGCCACGTGAAGGATTTATTACAAGTCGATTCAAAGATTCTATCCTTAATAATATTGACGACATCAGCAGTGGAACTAGAGGAGCGAACTTCATACTATTTGTGGCTCACTAAGTTGTTTATGTTGAGGTGACTAAAAACCTTCTTGCTGATGGTGTCCTCAAAAGTAGGTTGATGGGATGGTATTAAGACGTGGACGTGCATTCATCGCATTCTTGTAAACCGAGCATACAGCTAACCTATTTTCATAGAACAGAGAAGATTTCTTCTTCAGGAAACGGTTAAACAAGTTTTAAAATGTTGAGGATAGTTCTGGGCGAAAGAAGAAATTACGGTCATGCCAAGAGGTGAAGCAATGGAATTTATTCAAGAATCAAACTGCAGAATTTCTTGGATCTGGAACATCATGAGACACCGAGAAATATCATTAATATGAAAGGCCTAAAGTAAGGCATCAGCAGTGGACATATGGGAGAGAACTTCATACTGTTTGCCACCGACTAGATTGGTAAGAAAATGAAGTGAAAAGGGTTGCTTGGAGATACTCTCTTCCGCTCGTTAGTTCCCCAATAAATGAAAATAATTCCAGTTATATTTTTCTGAAGTATAGTTCACCGGAGAAGGCCAAGTTGTACTTTGTGGTAAAAACAGATTAAATGGGGATAATAAAAATACAATTTTAATAAATGCAATTTATTATGCAAACTATGCAGCAGTTAAATGTTATTTACCCCCTGCCTGCTTGAGTTATTATAAGGTCAATGGAAATTAGAATCACAGCAGTAAATCTTGGACATTATAAGACAAGATTTTATACAGGTTGATTTATGATATAAAAGCGTGCTGAGATGCACGAAGGGACAATAGTTGAAAGCAAAGAAAAAAAAAAACAACAAAGAACCAGTAATAAGAAGAAAGGACAATGTAGGAATTCATAGAGAGTATGAAGTAATTAAAAAGAAGACAAGTTAGAAAAAGAAAGAAAAACCTGCAAAAGAAAAAAGAAAAATCCTTTAAAAAATGAATATATTAAAGAAATGAAAACAAAACTCAAAAACAAACGAAAAGGAAAGAAAGAAAAATATGTGGAATGTTGAAGAGAGTGTGAGAAATGTGGAAGACGGTGTGAGGAATGTGAGAGAGTGTGAGAAATGTTGAAGAGAGTGTGAGAAATGTTGAAGGGTGTGTGAGAAATGTTGAAGAGAGTGTGAGAAATGTTGAAGACAGTGTGAGGAATGTGAGAGAGTGTGAGAAATGTTGAAGAGAGTGTGAGGAATGTGAGAGAGTGTGAGAAATGTTGAAGAGAGTACGAGGAATGAGAGAGAGTGTGAGAAATATTGAAGAGAGTGTGAGGAATCCTGAAGAGAGTGTGAGAAATGTGAGAGAGTGTGAGAAATGTTGAGGACAGTGAGAAATATAGAAGAGAGTGTGAGAAATGTTGAAGAGAGTGTGAGAGATGTGAGAGAGTGTGAGAAATGTTGAAGAGAGTGTGAGAAATGTAAAAGAATGTGAGAAAGATTGGGAAAGCAGATGAAGTTAAGAAACAACTTGAAAGAAAGTTGACAAATCTGAAAAAAAAAACGAAGAAAGATGAAAGTATACGTAATAAAATCACGATAAATACAAAGTAGGAACTCTCCTCTGTTAAAAATGACGCAGCACAATCTTGCATATCAGCAATGCATTTTTCACAGGTTTATGTAAATCTACAAAAATGGATATTTTATTCAATAGACTGTTCTCTGTAACCGTTAATATTTCCGTTCATATCTATCTATCTATCTATCTATCTATCTATCTGTTTACCCATATCTATCTATCTACCTCTCTATCTATCTATCTATCTATCTTTCACAGTCTGTTTATATCTATCACAGTTTCTTCATATCTATCTATCTATCTATCTATCTATCTATCTATCTATCTATCTATCTATCTATCTATCTGCCCGTTATCCTGTTTGTTTATTTATGTATCTGTTTTCTATTTCTAACTATCTTACTTCTGTTAGTATCGTTCCAGATTTCTATATTTAGAAACTAAACATACGAATTAATCTTCTTTTATCTCCCTATGTGCTTTACTTCTTATGAGAACATAATGATAAAAGTTTGACTTATTTCATTAACAGGAGAAAATGTCCGATTTCTTCACTCCCACCAAAACTAGTTTCTGTAAAATTTTTTTTACAAAACAATTTAAATATTGTACTCACCGCCATCGATTAACAGTTGTCAATCTAGTTTGGTTCGTTGTTAGTATTGAGTTGCATCCTTAGTTTAAGTTCCGTATTCATGACCATGTGCCAGAATTAATCTAAGTTCAATAAAAGCAACATAAAATGAATTCATTTTACCAGCTAACATAATTATTATTAATAAATATTTACTTTTCTAGTATTTGATTTGCTTATGCAAGTATTTACTTTTCTAGTATTTGATTTGCTTATGCAAGTATTTACTTTTCTAGTATTTGATTTGCTTATGCAAGTATTTACTTTTCTAGTATTTGATTTGCTTATGCAAGTATTTACTTTTCTAGTATTTGATTTGCTTATGGACTTTTCTTGAAACAAGTATTTACTTTTTTATTTATTTCATGGTATTTACTTTTTCTAGTATTTGATTTGCTTATGCAAGAATTTACTTTTCTAGTATTTTTTCAAGTATTTACTTTTCTAGTAATTTCTTCATAAGGTAATCTAGATGTGATCAAAACTATTTTATTATTTGTCTTCTGTTTTTAATTACTCGCGCTCAAACCCAGAAATGAACAATTCATAAGTTTCGCTTCATAATAGTCCCAAGGCACTATAATGGAAATGCAAATTTGTCAAATAAAATTCTACCTTTAATTGAAAAGAACAAAATTCTCAGCTTAACAAAGAAAAAATAAATCTATGTTGACATTGTTAATCTCTCCGTAAATTCGTTTCGTCAGTCCATTACATAATTCATAGTCTGTTTGTTCCTTGCTAAATGTTCAGCCAAGGCTCAAGAATCACTCATGGCAGAATATTGTAGAGTGAGGTTATTATATGTATTTAAGAGGTCGATGTAAGGGCAGATTATAAAGATATCTGTCATACATAACAGTTAACCCTACAGTTGAGGAGATTAAGATTGTATTGACTGGGTAAGCATCTTCTTGGTAGTCTGACCTACAAAGTAACAGTCCTTGGGGGAAAAATGTCTGAATGGAAGTTCCACCTTTGCAGTGGAATATGAAGGGAATAAAAATGATTCTTGTTTGTGTACGGAACGCGGCGTCTATTAACTGTAAAGGCCTGAATTTGCGGAACAAATGAATATAAGTCGTCTGAACATTGCCCATGTAAATAGGCACAGGGTATCGACAGGTTTAAAACGAATCCCTTATGAAAAAGGAACTTCAGGATTGAAAATAACCCATCATACTCTGGTGAAAAAGAACATGGTGCTTATTCTTTCTCTTCATATCAAACTTGGTCTAATAAAGAATTTTGTAAAAGTCCCTGAACAAATATTGTGCTGCCTGCCAACAGATGTAAACTCTATATTTACAGCTTTCAGTTCTACCAAGTTCAAGTCGGGCGTCTTCGTCGGACCTCGGATTCGACAAGTGCAAATGCGACAGAGATAAGGTATTTCAGGGGCTTTTTATCTTTAATGAATTAAGAGTCAGTCAGCCATAGCTTCCTTGGTAACACACGGGTACCATATTATCAAGGGTGTATAGAGAAGCTGTTACAGGATTATGGGCATATAGAATGACGAATGTCACTAAAAATTTCCTTTCCCCGCTCCCACATTTAACTTCTTCCTTCTGAAACTTAGAGTAATAAAGGCTGAGCCTGGAGAAACGTTCTACGAGGATATGACTAAGATGGAAAGTAACAACCATGGCAAGAGGAACCCCCAACATGATGGGGGATTTCTACTGGATGCTTCTGTGCGTCATGCCGAATGAAAAGTACAGGACAGTCCAAAAATCTCAGTTTTGACCGTCTACTGTACTTTGGCGTGTATGTATTGTACTGTCCAAGTCATTTGGTTCCATTAATATTCTGTATCTATGCTGTTTTCGTTTTTTAACATGCCTTTGTAATAGCTAGAATAAACAAATTATATCTTGAATTTGTATGCGGGTTAATAAAAATGTGATATGTGAAATCAAAAACACACTAGAGTTGATAAATCAAACCTGTTCAGAAGTTTGAATATTGCACATCAAAATTAGTAAAAAAAAAAATCACCTAATCGCATGCTTGCTTATCTTAATCTTTATTTATGTAAACTAGTGTTATAAGATTTTACTTTTATTTTAGACATTATCTTTATTGACAAACATTTAGCTTTGTCGTCTATATTCTCTTATTCTTTCAGACAAATTCATAATTCTAGCTTCCTGTAGATATTTGATTTCTCGATTAAAATCGTTTCAGTTGCATTTTCAGTTTTCAAAATATTGAATTTATATAATTCAGAGAAGTTGGCAAGGCTGGATGCTAATTGACAAGTTAAATATTAAACTAAAACTGCAGACGAATTTTAACCTCTAAAATGAATTGGAACAATTCCAGCGAATTAAACAAATAACCAGTCAGTCAGTTATGTGCTATGCGTGATACACGCTTAGGCGATCATGTATCTTTCGATACATGACTGACGAGGCAGATTTTTCCCGTAGTAGGTTGACATTTCTTCGGCAGTAGACCAGCTGCAATCCAAGGCTACAGAACCCTGTCTGTCCTGCTATCTACTCATAGTGTGATTGATTAAATGTAGTCAGTCAATTACGTGCTATGTGTGATACACGCTTAGGCAATCATGTATAATCCGATAAATGACTGACGAGGCAGATTTTTTTTCCGCAGTAGGTTTCCATTTCTTTCTGCAGGATGCCAGTTGCCATCCAAGGCTATAGAACTCGGTCTGTCTTGTTATTTACCCATAGTGTGCTTGATTAAGTGTACAGTCAGTCAGTTATGTGCTATGCGTGATACATCCTTAGGCGATCATGTATCTTTCGATACATAACTGACGAGGCAGATTTTGTCCCGTAGTAGGTTGATATTTCTTTCCGCGGTAGACCAATTTCCATCCAAGGCTATAGAACCCGGCCCGTCCTGCTATTTACTCATCGCTGGGGGTGGGGGAGCAGTGGATCCATATATTTACCAAGGGTATAAGCACGTAAGTGAATGTAATGGATTCGACTGGAATTAACACCCTATTTTCTTTGTTTGGACTTGTTCTCATATTCATTGTCATATTTACGACGTTACGGCCGTTGTAGACTCCGGTCTTCTTAGAAAATCAGGTATAGCTAACCGTATATGAGGGTAAAAGTGAGTGGACTACGCTCTGTGGGATGAGGATGATATAATACACAGAGAACATCCATGAACAATATAAACATTTAAGGAATCCGCGCATATGCTAGGCAAAAAAAAAAAAAAAAAAAAAAATTTCTAAGCCGGCCAAGGATAAAGATGAATACAATACAAGAAATAGTAATATAGAGAACAAGGAAAAAACAACAAGAACCAAATATGAGCTCTGGTAAAAAATTCTTTGCTGAGAAATCATCCAAAAGTGACCTGACGAAAGCACTTGGGATTTCAATACCTGGCCACAGCTGAGTTGAAGAAAAAACTTGGAGAGTTGAGTTATTAGAGGAAGATAACAGAAACTAGGATATCCATTAAAAAGGCCTGTCACGTGGAACTAGAACAATCTACACTCGTAGACTAAATAAAGGGAGGGTTCGGTCCAAAATTACAACGTATATCACCTGAAGAAGGCCCGAGCGTACAATGGCCGAAACGTCGTGAATATGACAATAAAGATAAGCCCAACAATCCGAATAATATAAATAGTGTAAATACTTACAATACGTCATCTCAGAAATATAGACATACGTGAAACTGATGAAATATTAGGTCAGATTCATCTTCGGGTTTTTGAACAGGAGTAGAGGTTTATCCCTAAACTTCTGCTTTGGATTGGGTTTCTAGTTCATTCCAAATTCTTTTTCACCTCAATACTTATAACGTCTCCGCCTAAACTCTGAAATTTATATTATAATTGGCTTTCCGATTTTGTCCAAACTCTTTTCCTTCTCTTTCATTTTCAGTACCTAACTTTCCATCCTCTAATTTCAAGCAATATTTGTTCGAACCTAGCGTTTGGATCTCCTGAAGGAAATTATGACAGAAAACACGCCTCCAATCCCACTATATACAACCCATCTTCAATGTAAACTTAGGAATGACACATTTCCCTGGGCTCGCCATCTCTTACATCATATATCATCGATTGAAGGCTCAACTTTTTTTCAAAGAGGAACATTTTGTTACCCTTTAAGTTGCGACTTAGGAAACAAATGCCATACCTCAAAGTAAAAAAAAAACATGCTCAAGCTGGTGCAGAAGCTTTTCAAAACATGTTTGTATATTTTGAACATGTTGGCTATCTATCTATCTATCTATCTATCTATCTATCCTAATCTAATCGTATATCAATCAATCAATCAATCAATCAATCATTCTATGTAGCCTAATCGTATCTATCTATCTATCTATCTATCTATCTATCTATCTATCTATCTATCTATCTATCTATCTTAATCTAATTGTATATCAATCAATCAATCAATCATTCTATGTATCCTAATCGTATCTATCTATCTGTCTATCTATCTATGGGGTTAGTCTGCCGGGATCTAAGTTGAAAAATATGAGTACCGTGTCAAAGTTCAAAGTGATTTGTTGCAAGTGAGTTTGCAAAGTACGAAATGATTTTCTTGCAAGTGAGTCTGCAAAGTTCGTAGTCATTTGTATGTAAATATGCGCTGCTCGCATGTGTGTGTGTGCGCGCGCACGCGCGTATGTGTGAAGCACACGCTAATGAAACATGCCTGTGACTGCTGACGTAGTGCGTGCGATAGTAGTAAATTCAAGTACGGTGAACTATGAGAGTGGAAACAAGACTTACTTTCATCACAGCCTTGTATGGTGTTTAATGAAGAAAAGTATAACTGACTGATGCACTTATGGTTACGTGTTTCTTGGCATGGATTGTTCGTTGACTGTTCTGTCCCAGATCTAGTCGCTGACTGTTGCTGGCGAGACGTTTTTATCGCTATTGGCTAACCGGTGCTCGCTACCTTCTCCTATCTGAGTTTTGCGCCTGACCGACCGTTTTCCAAGTCTTTTGTAGTTCAACCGCGCAGAAGTCGGAGTAAGCACATCATGAGACTTGTCTTATCGAATCGGGTTTTCAGAAACAATTTATTTAATCCGGAGTTCTGTTTGCACAGAATTATGAAAATATTTTCGCATGTATTGAATTTAGAAAATTTATTTGTAGACATCACTCACTTGTTTGTGCTTCATATATTGGCCGTAAAATATAGTTTGTATCATATCTATCAATCTATCTATTTCAGGCTTTTCTTCTCTCTCTCTCTCTCTCAATCGATCTATCTACTTATCTATCCTAATCTAATCGTATCTTCAGTCTTTTCTTCTATCTATCTATCTATCTATCTATCTATCGATCTATCTATCTATCTATCTATCCTAATCTAATCCGTTATCCATCCTAATCTAATCGTATATTAATCAATCTATCTACTTCAGTCTTTTGTTCTATCTATCTATTCTAATCTAATCCTTTATATATTTATCCTAATCTAATTGTAATTTACTTCAGTTATTTTCTATCTATCTATCTATCTACTTCAGTCTTTTCTTCTATCTATCTATCTATCTATCTATTCTAATCTAATTCGTTATCTATCCTAATCTAATTGTATATTAATCAAGCTATCTACTTCAGTCTTTTGTTCTATCTATCTATTCTAATCTAATCCTTTATATATCTATCCTAATCTAATCGTAATCTAATTCAGTTATTTTCTATCTATCTATCTATCAATTCTAATCTAATCCGTTATCTATCCTAATCTAATTTTATATTAATCAATCTATCTACTTCACTCTTTTCTTCTATCTATCTATCTATCTATCTATCTATCTATCTATCTATCTATCTATCTATCCTAATCTAATCTAATCCTTTATCTATCTATCCTAATCTATTCGTAATCTACTTCAGTTATTTTCTATCTATCTATCTATCTATCTATCTATCTATCTATCTATGTTCGATCATATCTCTCCATCCCTCTCTGTTCATATCTATCTATCATTAGTTTATATCAGTATAGCTCTTTACCTTTATACAGAAAAAAATGCAAGCTGAGATGTCTTATATGTTATCATGTCTTGTAATTATCATGTGAACATTATCATTGGAAATAATAAAACTGTTTTATTTGTTTGACAATGCGAAGCGCAGCATTTCTACAACACAAAAACGTAAAAGAAAACAATCCATCTACATAAAAAAAATGTTTAAGGATCTTTCTATAATATAAATTATTTGATTTCCGTTTCCGTTGACAGAAGACCAGCGGAAAACTTTCCAATGTTTAAAAACTCTATAAACAATAGTCACTTCTTATTGACCTTGTAAATTAATCCGTGGAATTTTCGTAAGATTCTTGGAATAAAGATGAAAATACATCACAAGAGAATAAAGATAAGCAACGCGAGAATTTAGCCGGCTTTACCGCAACATGTTCTGGTGGTGGACACGGTAATAATGCTTAATAATGAAGAAAAATGGGACCAACAATGCGTGAAGACATATCTTTTGGCAATATTCATTTGGTTGGTTTCCTTCCCAATGGCCGCCAGCAAAAGAACTTGAAATAAACGTCGTTAGTCACAGACAGCATTTGAAAATCATATGACTAGACGGGAATAAACGATGAAGGAACAGAATGTTTAAAGGTAATCAACCGAGAAATATATTCATCGAAGCCTGGACGAAACTTTCAGAGTCACAAACGAAGGCTAAGCAAGCGATGATAATAAAACACAATGAGTTTATAGCTTATCCATCTATATTGATTCATTGGCAATACGATACTGATGGATTTTAAAAGCCGATGCATGTAGTAATTTTAAGAAAGCCGTGTACGTAAAATCTTCCGTGTTAGAAATTATTTATTTTATACAAACGTAGTTAGGCCTTTCTTATTTCATTTCCCATTTCGCTTGGAGGCACAGTGGAGTAATAGATAGCGACTTGGATTGAGGAATCGGAGAGCCGAGTTCGAATTCCAGTCGAATCCATTAGATTCACTTAGATGCTAATACCCTTGGGAAAGGTATGAATCCAAATCTCTTGGCCTGAATAGGCACGGTGGGAGTAATAGATAGCGACTTGGATTGAGATAATTTTATGCATATACAGTAGAAGTCCTCATGCCCAAACTTTAGAGTAGTGCTGATATGAAGACGGGTTTGGATATAATGTCTCATGTGCAATTGATGTGATGGAATAACCTGGCACCCCCCACTATAGTTAGTAACTGCCTATAAGTGTCTGTAAGTCAACGGACTACAAAGATTCGCTGGAACCTTTTACAGCAATGCTGCTCAAACTCTCTGCCTCCGGGCAGACAGGATCCTCAGACCAGGCTGTGTCGAGAGGCAAAGTCTCGTCTCGGAAAACAGCTACTCGACCCGGTTTTATACGGGGGTCTATGGGGAATTTTTGGCCGAGCCTACGAGCTCGGAGTACCCCACGTTAAACTAGGCCTTGTGCCACATCCAACCCAGTGCAGGTGGGGGAAATATTGAATCGCTGGAATCTGTTTTAGCCGTGTTGCTGCAACTCTCTGTCTGTGGTTCCACGCACCTCAAAATCGCCAATCTCTAGATCAGTGGCCTTGCTGCTGGATGTAGTTTATCGTCATACCCAGGATGATTTTTATATACAAGTGCAAGCATTTTATTGGATTTCAAAAAAAAAAATATTTAAAAGCAGTCATAAATATTCATCAGGTTGGTTGAAAAGTCAGGAAAGCTATGGAGGACGCGAAGTGGCACAGATCAATGTCTATTAAACGAAAGTGAGTACGTGATGTTCTAGAATATTTTTTTCTTAATTAAAAAAGAATTCACGTGCATCCAGGTCTGTCGATATGCAATTTAGTTTTATTTATCAACACGCATTTGTCAAACATGTTCCTAATTGAATCACTCTGTTATACTGGAACATACCTATTCTATCGTTAATAGACTCTCCCACCTATAATAAATAGCAGTAGTAGCAGTTGTCAGTGAGCTCAGTGAGTTGGTCAGTCAGTCGATGTCGGACATTAAAGTATCAGCCACCACAACTAGATTGCTGCGTCATTAACTAGTATATCAAGTTCCTAACGTTTTGTACGTCGAACCTTTTTAGGACAGACTTAGTGAAACAACTCTATAACACACTCACATTCAGTGTTGGACAGCATTCAAGTAATTTTCTTTCTTAGAGAATGTCGTACGTTTTGCTTTGATGCACAAAACAGCAATCGTTTTCAAATAGGTACATATACGGAGATTGGGCGAAACGGGATTTTTAACTCCCCATTCTATCAATTTTTAGTAAATAGACTAACACGAAAAACTAATCTCCACCAATATGACATTTCCAGCAGGCATAGCTTGGCAAGTAATCTACAGCACTATCGTGAGCTTTTTCGGAATTCTTTTTACAACATATTATCAGTGAAATAAGGTTGGCTGAGAAAGCGCCAGTTTTTTCTGGTTGATCTTTTATACTCGAAGACATACTATCCTCTTTCTCGCACAGTCTCCATGCTTGTACATATGAACCAAGGAGAAAAAATAACCATTATTTGCAACTATTTTCATACAGGCACAAGTTAATTATCATTATTCTAACAGGGTTGGTGCTAATACCTGGTTTAAATCCTCGGGACTCGGATTCCCTCATTTCTAAGTTGAGAATTGCACGGATGCGAAAATATGATGCGAATGTCTTCTTTGTTTTAGTTTGTTGATTTTGTAACGTACGGTGACCGTTAATAATTAAGTATAACTCAAGATTCAATGTTTAATAAAACAGTAGTTAATTCCAACCGCAAATAAACACTCAGTCAAAACCAAAATCATCGACGCACAATCGTTCACACTAATTCGACTGGATAGTTACTCAATAATCACCCCAGTAAGTAGTCTGACACCGCTATTCATACACCTGGCGGAAAACATATATTCATAATTCTAGAGTGTCACGCTCGAACCTAGGTATCAGAAGTTAATCATTTTCTTCCTACATGACAGTTTAGCGGCATATCAACATTTTATGGGTCATTTAATGCCGAAATTTAATTTTCTTGGGATTATTAATAGTTTCTTTTACAAAAACGATATTACTATGAAAATGTATTGCTGGTGTTTTTCTTTCAAAGTATTTTGTTTTTGTTTAGCGATTCACTATTTACTCTTAGCTGGGACCCTAACAGGTGCTACCACCCCGAGTCAAAGTAGAAGTGAGAACATCATCAAATAAGAGGTGCCTCCATGCTCCTCAAAACATCCTGTTACTATCGGATGTATTTTATTGTCATATCCCTGACAAATGTCATCCACCATAGTAGGGGACGATAGTGTACAAGAACAGTTACAACACACTGATCCTAGGTAGATATTTTGATCCGATGAAGAGCTACTACACATGTTTGTCTCTATCAGATTTAAATGATAATAATTCCATATATATCTATATCCCAATTCATCTGTAATTTTATTCCGCTGAAGTTTAGAGTAGCAACGAATGCTTTTAGGTAAAGCAATTAATTTTAATCAAGATCATCCTGTCCGACACTTCTACAAAGAACAACATACACCATTTGCTCAATGGTGAAATGTTGTGTACAGTATCGTTCTTAATGTTGTATTAACAATCACTGTCTTTGAACATTACCTGGAAAATCAGATCGAATCAATCAAAGAACAAAACGACAAAACTAAATCTGCAAGGGAATTGATTTTCCATATAGCATCAAAGACAAAACGAATTTGGTTTGTCTGTTTTGAATCACAATATTACGCAGATGAGATCTGTCACAAGACTGTTTTTTAAAGCTGGAATCCCAATATATAACAAAAATTATTTATCTGTATCGATATTATTGGCATGGATAATCGTAGGCATTAAGAACTGATAATGCTCTTTCACGCCGCGTTACTGCACATATAATCGCATGATCAAACAAGTAGGTTCCTCTCTGAATTTTTACAATAAGGATTGATAATTATGTACGTTATTTACATTCGGACTCATGTCGTCATCCTTTTTGGTATTATCATAATGTTTCGACAGCTGTACTGTCTGGCCGTAAACAGCTTTCTACTGATCCGGGTAACCTTCAAGAAATTTCGATCTGAAGTTACAAATTTCATTTTTCCATTAAGCATTACCAAATAGACCACAAGAGACCATATTGATAGAGCAAATTTTGAATGGTAGCCTGTATTCGCGCGCAAGGCAACGAACCCGATTTTAATTTGAAATTGGCTCTCGATTTTTTATTCCATGCTTTTATACATGACACGACTCGCGCATTTGTCAAACAGGCTATTGATATGCGCATTATTAGTCATAACCAGTACTCAATATTGAATCACTCAGCTGCAGCTTCGGACCTCATTTTAGCCAACAAGGTTAAAAAAAAAATTCTCGTTCTGCAGTCGGTGACTAAGGTTATATCATCTTCTTTTTGGTACTGCTCGGTTAGTGTTCGGCTTGTTGTCAGCAGATGGCGGATAATAAGAATATTAAGGGTCCAAGTTCTACGTCCCACGGAATAATAAAATTATACTTTTGGGAATTTAGCGGTTTAATAATTGCAAATTCAAATCGAAGTAGTACAGGTTCAAACTCAGTGGGAACGCATGAGGACAGAAATACTAAAAAGACAGCATGCTAGACATGGACAGCAGAACGCCAAGAAACTACCCCCATATATTCAAAAAAAGGTTCAGTTCGAAATACACCTGGAGAATTTAGTGATTTTATGACAGTAAAAATGAAGACATTACTGTGAGAGTAGATGATTACGCATCGGGGTGAAGGTGTCCCACAAACTCGAAAAGATAGAGAAAATGAAACGCAGCCTGTACTGATCGGAACCTTATTTCAAAAGATCGTTTATGATTTAAAAAAATAATTCATGTCTGTGATTATTTTAATAAGAAATATTATTTTCATAAAATTATGCTAAATTCCTCGAAACTAATGGCAATTAAATTAGTATTTTTTTATTTCATTTTCACAAGAGAATG